GTTTGAGATTATTATAAATAATGATATAATAATAATATACAGTCTGTCCAAGACAAGGCCGAACAGATTCAACACTTAATCTCGTTAAATACAATCTACAACATAGATATCATAGCAAACCAATATGTTTCATACAATGACTATGTTGGATCCACACAATGCTTTTGTCATCATATCGGCCGGCATCTGACTAGTTGACATGTTTCTGAGATTTATGCTGTCATCTTCAATACATTGACGAATGAAATGAAAGCGAATGTCAAGATGCCTAGTCCTGCTGTGAAAAACAGGATTAATTGACAATTTGATGACACTCTGATTATCGTTATAGATAATCATTGGTTTTGAACATTCTGTGAGTTCTAGCAAATCAAGCAAGTATACTGCCTCTTTTGCACTTTCTGATAGTGCTATATACTCAGATTCGGTACTGGATAAAGATACTGAACGTTATTTCTTACTACCCCAAGAAATTGCGTCCCTAGCAAAAACAAAAACAAATCCACTGAATGAGCGCCTATCTATGGCATTTCCACCCCAATCAGCATCAACAAAACCCACAAGGCTAATTCCAGTCGAAATCCAGATTGATTATCTATTATCAGCTTATTGGTTTCAACATAGTTCAAGAGTTAATCATATACAGCCATTTCTAATAATTTCTCCATACCAGGTAAGGTGTTGACTGGACGAAATTCACTAGCTTTTTGAGTGTTCTTGATCTCAAGTATCGGTACAACTATACTAGTTTTCAGCTGATTAGGAAACTGACCATATTCAAGGGAAATATTGATGAAATGCAACAGAACATGCCCTAATACTCCAAAAGTACTTTTTAGAAATTTGACATCTACAATTTCAGCACCTCTGACTTATTTTCTAATTTATTTATAATTTGCGCTACATCTTTCAAGTGCAGTTGCTCAAAATTAGAAAAGTCCGACTCAACAGTGTGTTCACTTTGCCAAGCTGCAGTCATGTCAATCGAATTAATAATCTTTTCTATACTGGATTCAAAATATTTATTGAAATTTTCAGCAATATCATTTTTGTTGTTACTCATTAGTTTTTGATTATCTAATTCAAATTGAATATTGTTCCAACTGCTTTCATTTTAGTGTCAGTTAATGCTTTGATAGTTTTCCACATGAATTGTGAATTCCTAGAACTTAAATCGATTTTATTTTAGTGATATTCTTTTTTCTTAAATTTGAGGAAATTAACTACATCATTCCTTAGCCTCTTATAATTGAGCCAATTGTTTCATCTCTATTGTTTATAAATACTTGATAAGCTTTATCTCTTGATTTTGTTATGTTTCAAGTTTTTACCTTCATAATCATACCAAGGTAGACTATTGTGCTTGCAATAGTATGCCTCCATGGGAGCAATGGAATAAACAACTTGTTCCGTTTTATTCCTGACATCATCATAGAATCTTCCAACATCGACACAGTCCAATAGATTATCTGTACCAATTAATTCCACACATATTTTGTCAAAATTTGACTTATTCAAATTCCGGTAATTTTTATTATTTTCTGTTGAACTTGCAGATGTTTTATTTAGTGTGTTAATAGACACTAAGGAATGATCTGTTATCTTAGGTACATGATGAACTAACGTTTTTATATCAAAATTACTGAGAACAAAATCAACCAAAGTAGCGCTAGTATTAGTAATTCTTGTAGATTCCTGTACACATTGGTTAATTCTATACACATTTGATGCATTCTTGAGATGGTTCGAATAAAATTCGTTTTTTTCATAATCAATATTGAAGTCACCAACACACCAACCATTATAAATTTCAAATTAGATTGTACAAGATCTTCACAAATGTTTTCGAGGTTATCAAGAAATACCGCGTGGTTTGCATTAGGCGAGTGATACAGTGCACCAACTAATAAATTAAATTGATTAAAATTAATTTTTAACAAGAAACACCAGACATTTTTCTCCAAAACATATCCTTTGTAAATAGAAAATTGAAAATTTGATTTTAAAAATATAAGGACACCACCTGTATGCCTTGAAGTCGAATCACATCTTATTGTTCTATAGTTAGGGAGCGTTATTTCAGAATCTTTGATGTCTATAGTGGTACGACTGTCACTGCAAAAAATCATTGAAGGCTAGTAGGGTAAGATTGAAGCAACAATTTCATCTTTATGAGCGGTGAAACTTGCTATGTTACCATAAATAATATTAGTCCCTAGAGGAATATTAGGATACTTGACTAGTTTTTTACAGAATTGTATTTATTTACAACAGTGGGAATATTATTGATGTATCTGATTGTTTTTGAATTATCACCCTTTGAAATTAATTCATCTAGTTGCTTTTTGATGTTCGGATAATAATCTTTCTGTTGTTTTGTTTGATCCCCAAATATCCTAATACCGCCAGGAACATCATTTTCATTAATTCTTGTATGTTTGAGCACACCAATGGGCGTGTACACCTCAGTAGAACTTTTAACTCAAACCATGGTTATAATGATCCTTTTATACATAAATAATGATTGACGACATAATTCGATCGAAAAATTAACTGGAATGTTTTATTTTTGGACATAAATAATAGTACCTTCTGAAAACGTAGAAACCTTATCTCGCCATAGTTTGAAGAAAATACCAAAAGCCCGACGGAGACTGAGGCAACTGATATATTAATTCTTTCAACTGTGATCTGGTGCTAATTCACTGTCAGAAATCGTTTCAGTATTAGGGTTTTGACGTCACATCATCGCCTCGTTTTCAGAGGTGCGAAAAATCGGGGATTTCAATAATTTTTTATAAAACGTAGGGAGCTCACAGCAAGAAACGGTTTGCGGTGGTGAGCTAGTTTGGGTGAGTTCTATCGAATTATGAAATAAAATTTTTTTGTGATGTAAGCCCATTGCATCATTCTTGTTCTGCATAATGACTTTAATCAACCGATTTTTATCTGGTAGCACCTTGCCAACTGTAACATTCACAATATCAACGCCAAAGTTTCTAAGTAGCTCCTTCACTGTCTTTTCATCCTCTTCTTTTTGTTGTGCAAGGGTGGTTGCCTGGGACTCTCTTACATTCGCAATCTTTATATCAGTTTCCCGTTTCTGACGTTCTAGAACTTCCATAATAACGTTTTCGTTAGAAATGTTTGCATTATTTTCATTTACTATCACTTGTTTCAATTCCTCTTTGATCAAAGTTATTTCTGTTTTCATTCCATTTTTTTCAGATTTCAATTCTTCAACTTCCGCTTTGAGAGAGTCAATTTCTTTTTTCAAAGAGATAAATTCAGTTTTGAAACTCTTTATCTCTCTTAATAATGTTGGAACATTCTTGAAGAACACACGACAATCTTGACAAAAAGATGAACTTAGACCTATACAAGCTTCTGTGGGATGCTGCACACTATGACAGCTATCACAGGTGGCCAATTTATCTCCCATAACTTGATGACAGACTGTACAGGAATCCTCCATGTTAGAGTTGATGATTGCCTAAACAAATTCACTTAGTTCCTCGACTATCGCCCACTTTCAATAGCGTTTATCTGTTGAGTTTTTTTTTCTTTTATTCACAGATAAAGATTTGAATTCGACTAGTTTTCAGGCTTCTTAGTTCATAAATTTGATGGAATGTTCGTTTCAGATTTCGAATTATCACCAATACACTGCCCTCTCACCTCTATAGGCATTTCGTATTACTGCTTTCGTAAAACTGCTCTTCTCCCACTACCTAGAGCTGACCTGCAACCACATCAGGGGTATCTGAACCTGTTGACATCAAATGATAAATGTTATTTTTGAAGAGTATGCAAGTTCTAGGAACTAATAAGATTTCAGATGTTATTTCTGATGAGTATGCGAGTTCAAAGTGTGCCTCCTGCAGTGCATGCAATCATCTTACTAGAGCAGTTTCCTGGACCGCTCATTTGCCCTGTGTTGAAAAGTCGGGGTTCTTGAACCAGTATCATAATAATATCGAGTTTCTTCTGAGCGAACCTCCTGCCAAGGACAAATGACATCGCTTTAGCGTGTTGTATGTGTGCCTGAGATGCGGGTCGCCACTTTTTATGGAGGAGAGGACAAGGAGGATTAGTTCCCTCACTCGCCTTTGGTTCCTATTATATTTCGGGAATAGGAGGTGTCCAGAGTTCCTTCCAAATCTCCTGCGAAATTTGAATGCATATAGGGTCGAAAGTGGACACAATTCCTGACAATGTTACGCGGATTCCTACTGGCTAATTACTCATATTCACATGTCCGCTGCGACAAAGTTCTGCATCACCGCAGGAATACAAGATACTGATAGGAGGAACGTAAATGGTATCTAGAAGTCTGCGTGGAAGGAAGCTATTTGAGAAAAACACAGTTAACATACATGTTCGTATGTCCTTTGGCAAGAATGACGTAAGCCTGAAAATCGCGATATACTTGGCTGGCTTGAACAAAGCATCCTCATCTATATAAATAAGTAGTTTGATTATAAGGTGAATAATTTCACTGAAATCGTTTAAGAATGTCTTTCTGGGCGTTACTTCGGACCCCCAAAATACGCTAATATAGTATTTCAGTCCGTTGTTGTTCGTCAAACTCGGTCCTACCATTTCTACATACATTTTAGATAGCATTCAAATTTTGATTGTAATTTCAGAAAAAATGTGTACCTCGTAGTGAAAGCACATTCCCAGACTTCAATGCATGGAACAATTCACAGTGTCATCTGGGAATGTATTGTTTTCACTACTAGATACACAATGCACTATCCTCAAAACCAACGTTAGTAATGATATAGTATGTATATGATATGTATGATATAGTATACCTCAACTGCAAAACAGCCATTGTGACGTGCGAAGTTTGGATAAAAGACACCCCTTCCCCTCTCGGCACGGATTGATGAAAACTTTTCACCCCAAAATATAGTGTCTGAAAACGTTCTTATTATGATTTCCCGCCTGAATTTATCTAAGATGTATTTCGATTATTTTCACTTTTCTTTCAGAACTGTGAACAAGGAACCCAGTGGAAAACAGAACATATCGTAACTAGCAGTTCGATATCAAAAGATCGAAAAGCTGCCACAGAAGAGTCATGCAGAAAACAGCTGAGACTGACGATAACATTTCCAAAAACGAATTATTTCCCACGATCGAAGATAACTGTAGAAATGTTCTCTTTGGTGAAAGTGAATTTAGAGAAAAAACAAAACACCTACAAATTGGAAGGGACATTGGTCAGACCTCTACCAGAAAGAGTTTTCACCAGACAGACATGATGATTCGCAAACATTCTAGAATGAAGTATTTGTAGCACAAGCAAGAATCGTGGAATTTTTCAGATGCCAATTTCAGCTTCATGATATACACTGATTTTGCGAAAATAGTAACTCTATTACATTATGATTTGAAGAGGATATGATTCAGAAAAAAACCGTCAATTAAATTAGGAATTCCAGGGAGTACTTACACCACCAAGCTACCACTACTAAAAGCTTTTTCTAGAAAAGAATATTCATTGTTAGATAATATCATCGCCAATCGTATATTACTTAAGGTCAATAACAAAAGAACATTGTACCCTTTTGAGTAGGGCCACCTTCAATCTTTATTGTCATCTGATTTGAATCATGTTTTCTTAGAGGCGAAATACATTACAAATATTGACTTTTGAAACAAATATGATATTATTAATATATTACGTTTTGGAAATAATCCTTTAACATTAATTCTTTTCTAAATGAAACGTGAACTTTCGAATTGAACATTTGATTTTTCTCTGAATATAATGAGTTATTGATAACAAATCACTCTTCACTATATCTACGGAACATATTAGGGGCCGGTTGCATGAAGCTCTGATAATTCGACGAGGAATCAACTCTTCTAACTCATCAGCTATTGTGAACGTTGCCATGGGTATAAAGTTGGATTTATGCACTCCGCTTTCATTAACCGTCATTAAATGTATTTTTATTTGAGTACTTTGATGCCTAAATGCAACATTTTTTGTAACTTGAAACTCTTCTTCATGATCCAAACATAGTCCTCCGCTTACTTAGCCCGATGAAAATAATGATGTTCTAACCTCCACTGCTCACATTATTAAAATAACACTAATGTGTTCATATTGTTTTCGAAGTCAAATTTGGAGGAGCAACTGGGATTTTGTGAATCCTCAACCACTTTTTGAAAAAATAAGAAGAAGACATTGTATGTCTGACTTCTGACAGAATCGCGCCTGCGCAAGTCACACTTCTACTTATATTTGTCGTTAACAGGTAAAAGATGGTCATCTTTTAGCGAATAGTTGATGAGATACAAATTAATTTGGGTGCATGGGTGATTGAACGGAAATACCAAGATTCAACTCATTAGTGAAATCGTAAATGATTGTAAAACTACTGATTGATGAAAAAGCGGCGTGCATAAATCCGTCTTATACAAATTGAATATTTAATTGTCTCTAAAATGGTTTATGCAACCGCCCCTAACTCAGTAAATTTTTTTGGGATGCATGATTGCTTTTATCGTTAAAATAATCAGTAGGTGAAGATGACGTTATTGAAAAAATTGTAGTAGGGGAAGCTTGGGATGATACATGAGAAGATGGAACAACAATCAGCAATGCTAGTTTGTGTACTTCTTTCTCTAGAAAATTGTAATGATTTCTTGAAAATACTATTTACTTCAAATGGTAGCTATATTAAAGTGGAAGCCTTATTGATATAAATATTTAGTTTTTGTTAAAATCTACGTGACATTTACCAAAAATATATTCTGTTGTTAAATCACTAGTGAAACAAATCTTTATCAGATTTTGCTTTTTTTTCTTACGATACCGTTCTCCTACAGCTTCACCAGAAACCATTGTAGATTTCTTGTCAATTGAGCACCTTTTGAGCAAGTACAGAAGCGAAACATCTATTGGAAAAGAAATTGGCGTTATAAATTTATCATTCACAAAGTCGAGTGAAGGAATTTATATCTTCATAATTTGTCGAAACAGTTATTCACACCGCGAACGTAGGAACTTAAAAATATTTACATCTGAATAGTTTTTCTCAACACCATCTATTGGCCATCGAAATAATCACTTTTTTTATCTCTTGGGGCGCACGAAAGGGAATCCCTATAATGGTCGGAGAACATCATGTGTACCTGGAGGAGGATAGGGAGGGGAGGTAGATATTGGATTTTTTTTAACTTTTGAAGATTATAAGTTCTTGGGATAATTCCAAAACTTTGCCGTTCTATAGACAAACGAGCTTTGGTAGAGTTGTTGGACATATCAGAAGGTTGACGACGAAAGGATGTGCTGACTTTTCGAGTTTGTCTGACTGGTATATTGCTAGTGATGGAATGATAGCAGAGATTTCCGGTGGAAGTATCTGTAGAAAAGTGAAAGGTTGCCAACTTCTCTTCGGTGTTCCAATAATGTCAAAGAATTAGCGAGTGTGGTATCACCCACCAGTCAAATAGCTCTTCTCTGGATGGAATCTAAGAGCATCAGCAAATATTTGGTTGCTGAATCTCATATGTGAAAACAGTATTCTAGAACAGGCGTATCTGTGATTTGTAAATAATGAGAAGCTGTTGAGGTGTAAAATAGATTCTTGCACGGGATAAAGATCACAGTTTTTGTGAAGGAGCTCTCACGATGGATCTGACATAATTTTTCCATGAAAGACCATTGCTGATGAAAGATAAAGATAAAGATGATAGATAAAGTGGACTTTGGTGGTACCAGGCATTGATATATCAGGCATACTGAGTTCCGCCTTTCTAGAAAAAAATCAGGCTTGAGTTTTGATGGCGTTGATTTCATCAACGTTGTTGGCTCCCCAGGCTGTAATTTTACTTGCCGTTGTAGTAAGTTCTTAGTTTCCTGAGAAAAAATTGGAATCCCGCAAGAGATCGCAGCATGGAGAGTACTATCATCTGCAAAACTGTGGATAGAACAAGTTGTTACTCCCAACAGATCATTGATATGAAGTAAGAACAATGTTGGTGCCAAAATCGATTCTTGTGGAACGCCGGAATTGATTGGTATGGTATCAGACGATACTCCTTCCACCATGACATGGAGCGATCTGCCTGAAAAATAAACTTGATAAAAGCTGGCATAGCTGGAGTGGTTTGTGGAGAAGTCCTTAGTGCCAAACACAGTCAAATGCTTTCGATATATCTGACGCAACAGCTACAGATTCCCCATGTTTCTCTAATGAAGCTTGTCATATATGAGATAACTGATAACATGGCAATAGGCGTATAGTTGTCGTTGGGCAGGTTTTCGTTTTTTTTTTATCGCTTGGCCACTTTTCATACGTAATTCTTCATGAGGAAAGTTGAGGTGAAAAAATCTCGAAAATGGTCATCGGCCTCGAAGTCGATCGAGAAGTAGTCTAACCACAAGACGAGTATCAATCAACCGTAAACTGAGATACAATGACAAGATGAAAAATACGTAAAATTCTGGGCGATGAAAAACCTGAGTCAAATGAAAAACATATACGGGGTGAGTCAAACAACCAGAGTCAAGTAAAAGGACTTGGAGAAACATATTATTACGCAGAATGATAAAAACTTAGACTCGAGACGTGTGACAGTTGACGAATCATGTATGACTTTCAGAAAATCCGAGAACATTCTGCAACTGACAAATGGGGTGAAACGAAAACAAGGAAATTTTATCGAACGATTCATATTTACCTAATTAATCATTTCCTTAGTATATTGAGTGATCAAAATATCTTGAGCCAAATAAATATTTGAAAACATAACATATAGTGAGTCGAAGAACCTGGGCCAAATGAAATATAGTTGAAAAACATATGCTTCTAACCCTACCAAAACGCTCAGGGTCAACCAACATTTGACATCTGACGGTTGACAAATGACAGCCGACGTTTGACAGATGACCTATCACAAATGAAAGAACATAATATATGTAGAATGATCAAATCAAAAAATCAAAATATCCTAAACAGCATAAATATTTGAAAAACAGAGAGGGTAAGTCAAATAATAGTTGGAAAATATGTTTCTAACCCCACCGAAACCCTTAGGTTTAACAGACATTGGATGACAGATGACGAACGATCGATGACTCATGACCTTCCGGTGTCTTGCCTTTGCCGAAAGCAAACGCTTAGGTTCTGTCACATCCTGGTTAGGATATTAATATTAATCAAACACTTTTCATTAGTATCAATATTCACTGGAGGTTTTTATTGACTGTAAAATACAAGAGCCCGGTTCTAGTAGCGTACGTCTTGTTACGTGCCCATGGAACCACTGCTCGTTGGATACGCAGTGTTGCCAACTCAAATACATTACATGCCCTTTCCAAAAGAAAAAAAATTAAATTTCTTTGAAGATTCAGCCGTTCAGGGCATTTAACAAGCCGGTTAGTTCTAGTTACATTAGTATGTTTACAATTTTCAGAATTATCAGAAAACGAATAAACTGGTTCATTATTTGATTTCTGCGAATCGTCGACTTCTTCCTCAGTACTACTAGTACTAGAGAGCCTTGGTCGAAGAAATTACCTGTTTCCGAGCCTGTTTCGCCGGTAGTTCACTTTATCATCAGTCTGGATTATATGATCATTAGGTCCTGATTTTTTTAAAATAGCCGCAGGTTTCCAGCTACGGAGATTGGTTTGAACCATCACTTTCTGTTTCGCTTCCATTTCTGGAAGTTTCTTGGACGGTTTATTATAATAGTGAACTTGTTTTATTTTGCTATCTTGTAATATTGTTTTCACACCAGCTATATATAGGATATTTGGGTATCAGCAAATCTTTTTTGATAGGTAGTATAGATCGGATTTTTCTACCCATTAACAGCTCACATGGTGCTGGAAGATCCTGTTTAGGAGTTGTATTATAATTGAAAATCGACAAAAATAGATCCTCTTTCTCCTTTGCAGATTTAACAAGTAGAGCCTTCACATTTTGAACAGCTCGTTCAACCATTCCGTTGGACCTAGGATAATGTGGACTCGACGTGGTATGTTTTATATCATATTTTGCCACAAAATTTGAAAATTCCATAGAATCAAACGGGGGACCGTTGTCCGATACTATTCCAAGGAGAAGCCCATTAGTAGCAAACATATTTTTTAGGGCTGTGATTGTATTTTCAGCAGTCGTAGATGTTAATTTATTAACGACGATGATTTGCTGAAATAATCCACAGTTACAAAAAAACTCAGATTTCCAAAAGATTCAAAATCTATTCCGATTTTTTCCCACGGAAAATCTGGTACTGCATG